AGCATTAATTTATATCCGCTTGCTTGACAGAAACGTCCTTGAGCTAAAACCACAGATCCTGGTCAGATTGTTTACGGTTTACGTGCGAGAAATATCGTTCGTCGCATCCACGAAGAGAATAAGGGAGTGGGGAGTCGACAAGGAACTTTCGAGAGAATCTCGCTTGCTTTTTATCTCTCTCTATCTCTATATCTCTCTTTCGCTCTGCCTCCCTCCCTCCTTCCCTCTCTCCAACTCCCACCTCTCATCCCCTTTCTACATCTCTCAATTTATTGCTTTCACCCTCCTTACCCTCCCTCGTTTTCACATAATTTTATCTCTCTCTCTCTCTCTCCAAGCCTGCTTGAGTCCTTCAAACCTAGTTCGTCACGACAGCGTCAGGATTAAGTTGATGATGACGCACGGATGTTTTAATTCAAGTATAGCCGAGCCATTTTATCACGATCTGGGGCTGCTGCTCCTATGTCCTTATTACAGACATCGATGCTCCTGGCTTTCTGTACCACTGTACCGCTTTGAGGCTGTTGTTGCTGTTGTCATCGTCACCGTCATCGTCGTCGCTGTCATCGTCGTTGCTGTCATCGTCGTCGCTGTCATCGTCGTTGCTGTCATCGTCGTCGCCGTCATCGTCGTCATAGTAATCGTTGCAGCGTTTGCGGTCGAGTCTTCTCAATATAGAATTATAACGCTAAAGCACCTAGTGATGACACAACTGGTTCCTACAACGTCGCACTACGTATTAGTATTACCTGGGGCTAATAATTTTTCCATTATTCACCCCTGGTATTACATATCCTCTAATACTAGCCCAAGCGTATATCTTCTTGCTTGCGACTAACACCCTGAGGCGGTTTAAAACGCAGATCCTGGTCGGGATCGCATTGTAATTTTATGCTGGAGTGCAACTGCGTCAATTGCAGCTGCACGATCTATCCAACAACTCACGGTTCGTACATAAATATGAGTTTATTAGCACGCGGTGCAAAAATTACAGAAATTAAACCGAAAAGCAATCGGATGAGCGCGCGCGAAACAACTCTCCGTCTAACGATACTTGTTTAAATGCATTTTCACGTCGAGTAACGTGAAACGCGGGAAAGTTCGTAATGCATTGTTGTAATAATAACAGGAGTGTCATAACACACACACACACACACGCACACGCACACGCACACGCACACGCACACGCACACGCACACGCACACGCACACGC